TGGTGGCGCGTGCCTGTAATCCCAGCGACTCAGGAGGCTGAGGCAGGAGAATTGCCTGAACCCAGGAGGCGGAGGTTGCGGTGAGCCGAGATCGCGCCATTGCACTCCAGCCTGGGTAACATCAGTGAAACTCCGTCTCAAAAAAAAAAAAAAAAAAAAAAAAAGAAAACGTTAAGGCTTTGGGGGTCATTGGGATGGAATGTATTTTGTATGTGAGAAGTACATGAGTTTTGGCAGGCAGGGGTAGAATTCCATGGTCTGAGTGTTTTTCTCTCCTCCACAATTTATGTTCATACTGAATCCCCAATGCCCAATCTCCAAGAATTATGAGGTGTGGCCTTCAGGAGGAGGTTGGATCCTGAGGGGTCTGCCTTTGTCCATGGGATATGGTGTTCTTTTCACTGAGATATCAAAAGGCTTATTCTAGTGAGTTCACTGCTTTTTGCCCCTTTTGTCCCTTCTGCCATGTGGGGACACAGCATTCCTCATCTCCAGAGGATGCAGCAACAAGACGCCATCTTGGAAGCAGGGAATATCCCTCAGCAGACATCAGTCCTGCTGGCACCTTGATCTTGGATTTCGCAGCCAGCGGAATCATGAGAAATACATTTCTGTTCATAAATTAGTCTGCCTTATTTTGTTATAGCTGCACAGAAAGACTAGGACATACTCTGTTATGTAACTGTTGGATTCTGTTGATTCAGCTCTAATTTTCAGACGTCTAGGTTCAGGTGCTTGCTCTGCTGGTTGCAGGTCGTTGACCTAGGCAAGTTTCTTAGTGTGTCTGTGACATAATGGTCTTCTAGTAAGATGGGAAGAAATCTTTCTGTCATTGGTTATTATGTCGTCATTTGAATTAGAACATGTAAAGCATTTGGAGTAATGCCCGGCACGAGAAATGTTCCAAAACTTTAGACATTGCTGTTGTTCTTGTCATTACAGTTCTTAGTTTCTGACCTTTCTTTAGAGCCACTAAGAGCATTGTCATCTCTGAAGATACCACTTGTATTCTAGCTCATCCAGACACCTCACTAGGTGTATCAGATATAATATCTAATACTTGCATGGGGATAACCGTGTGTTTATTTCTTATTTTGTCCACAAAAATTCTAATCTCCCATTGAATTTTATAAAAACTAAAATTAGGGACATATAATTATCTCACAGTTGCTTTTCATGAATATGTCAAAACACATACTTCAATCAAATTGATGTGACCTTCTCTTCTCATTTTATGTAAAGATAAGAGCTCATTCATTGTTCATCATTGAAATGTGTTTTTCATTTCAGGGATCTTTGACATTCAAGGATGTGGCCATAGAGTTTTCTCAGGAGGAGTGGAAATGCCTGGATCCTCTTCAGAAAGCTTTGTACAGGGACGTGATGTTGGAGAACTACAGGAACCTGGGATTCCTGGGTGAGGATAATTTTCCTCCGGAAGTTAGGATATTCCCTTGTGCATTTTTGTACTTTCCTTATTATAGGAGGTCCTGCGTTATTTGACAGAGATTGAAGCCTTGTTTGTTCACAAATAAAAAGCTTCATAATGCTGTATCTGGCCTTTAACTGTCCCGTTTCTATGGATATTCTGCTTCCTTCTTTGTACATAAGTGGTGGTTCTAGAACTGATGTACATATAAAACCTTATAGCACATTTAATATAGTAAATTCCCTGTTCCTGTTTTCTATCCCTGTGCTTTTTTTTTTTTTTTTTTTTTTGAGACACAGTCTCAGTCTGTCACCCAGGCTGGAATGCGGTGGTATGATCTCAGCACACTGCAAACTTAGTTTCTTGGGATCAAGCCATCCTCTTACCTCAGCCTCCCAAGTAGCTGGGACTATGGCTGTGCACCACCATGCCCAAGTAGAGACAGGGTTTTACTGTGTTGCCCAGGCTGATCTTGAACTCCTGGGCTCAAGCAGTCCTCCCACCTTGGCCTCCCAAAGTGCTGAGATTACAGGTATGAGCTCGTATGCTTGGCCTGTCCCTGTGTTTTTGATTCATTATTTCTTGGGAGAGGGCTAGGTGTCTGCATCTTACAGTGTTCCTTAAGCATTCAGAAGGAGGCAGTCAATGGATGAGTTTGTGAAACATTTTGTAGATTCAACTGCAGTGTTTTCTCTTCAACCTAAATGTTAGTCTGGGTTCTGGAAAAACCATGGGACACCTTCTTTCTTTTTTTATAAGCAGGACTCTGTCTTCCTGACCTGAATATTATCTCCATGTTGGAGCAGGGAAAAGAGCCCTGGACTGTGGTGAGCCAAGTGAAAATAACAAGGAACCCAAATTGGGGGGAATGCATGAAAGATGTGATCACAGGTAAGAGCTCAGATGGGCACAATGGAAGCAGCACCATGAAATTGTGTAAAACTGCAAGTGGGAGAGTTCTGTCAGGAAACACATTTGATTTTCTATGAGCTCTAAAATTTTTCTTCTTTCCTGCTTATCACTTTACTCCCCAGACATGTATAAGTTTATCCTTTCAGTCTCCAGTGGCGCTGCAGCTCAAACAGAGCAAAGGACAAGACTATTATGATGGATCACAGTGTCATCTGTATTCTGTGAACTCTGATGCTTTGACTCTGTGGCATGGGAAGGACCTTTTCAAAGGAGTCTCTTTCCTGTGTGGCCTCTCCTCCTGTTCTTGATTCCATCTGATGCTCAGTTCCCTGATTCATGTACATTAGAGCTGAGGGCTCCATAGTCCTGATACCTGGAGCTTTTCTGGTTCCACCCCATTTCCTATACATGAAAGTGCTGGTCCAGAGATGGGGAAACATTGGTTACCCTTTCTTTGAAGCTGGGATCCTGACACTGCATGGGACTGTCTTCAGCTCTGTCTGTCTGTTCAGGTCCCTCAGCCATTTATTCAGTTCTTTGAACAATATTCTTGGGTTTGTGACAGGGGAGTCAGTTGGGTTTCCTGACATTGTTACATAGAAAAACTGTAAAGATAGTTGACACAAAGGTCCTCTCTTTATTCTTAATCCTACATGGGGAGCATATCTCTGTCTTCAGACTCTTAGGCTGGGATCTGTGGACAGAGCAGAGTATCATTTTGAGATCCCTTCTAATACAACTCCTGTGTTTTTCTCTGTCTTGTTTATGCCTTGGCTCTTCCTAATTTTATATTCTCTTTTATTTTTGTGTGAATTTTTGCCTCTGAGACTTGCTTTGGATAAACAGATTTCTAGGGTCCGACATTTTATTCTTTTTTCTGCTATGATAACCCATCTTGGGGTTATGAACATCCTGTGGACTATCTCATAGAGTGGGTTGACTGGGTAAGAGAAAATTCTTGAAGGAGAGCACTTTGAGTGATAAGTTTTTTTTGTTTTGTTTTGTTTTGTTTTGAGGCGGAGTTTCGCTCTTGTTACCCAGGCTGGAGTGCAATGGCGCGATCTCGGCTCACCGCAACCTCCGCCTCCTGGGTTCAGGCAATTCTCCTGCCTCAGCCTCCTGAGTAGCTGGGATTACAGGCACACGCCACCATGCCCAGCTAATTTTTTGTAGCTTTAGTAGAGACGGGGTTTCACCGTGTTGACCAGGATGGTCTCGATCTCTTGACCTCGTGATCCACCCGCCTCGGCCTCCCAAAGTGCTGGGATTACAGGCGTGAGCCACCGCGCCCGGCGAGTGATAAGTTTTAACATCATCTTGCGATATACAGTAGTGACTATTAAAGCCAGAGTAGAATGGTCAGCATGTATCATGATATTCAGATAGAGAGTATCACAAGAGCCTGGTTTTTGAGAACTGTCACAAAAGTGTCTCTCAAGGGTACTGTGGCAATGTCGATCTCATATACTAATGGTCCTCATTTTTGAGGTAGTGGTGAATGGTGTAGGAATTTCTCCCAGGGGGAACACTGTCCAAGTTCACAGCTTCATGTCTGCAGGGCGGTTGCCTGAACCACTGCTCGTGCCACACTTTTCTTCCCCAGTATTTTCCGTTTACAGTGAGTATGTCTTTGATCTTATTCAGGAAGCTAATGAAGTTGAATGAGGCTTACATTTTTTAAGTCCACAAAATTTGTTTTAAGCAAACATTGCTTTCATCTGGTGCATTTTCATGTACTATAATTATACTTTGTTTTTATTTATTTAATGATCAGTTCCATATTTTTGAGGTTACTCAGTTTTCTTTGTTTTATGTTTCTATGTATGGTAGTATTGTGTTGGGGAATGTGCGGCACTCAGCCTTACATCTGGCTCCCAATGTTTCAAGCATATTGCGAACTGTGGCCCAGGTTGCAATGGCCGAGGGGGCCATCTCATTACCCGCACTCCTGGCAATACGAAGCTGTTCACCAATTTCATCCCAGTCCTGCAAGTCAAGTGTACCTTCAGCTGGGAACCATGGACAGAGAGAATCTATAAGATTGAATAGCTCAACAAGCTTGTCTGAGGAGACTGAAATACCCCCCTGCCTTAGTAGGGTTTTAATAAAGGAAATACAGGAGTCATACTTAGAGCTTGTTTGTCCCATTTTAACCCCGAGATTACTGTGAGCGTTACAAAAAGTCAGTCCCACTTTTCTTACCAAACGCCCAGGAATCCAGCGCTGGATTCTCCACAGTAGTAGCTGTGACAGCTACGCTAAGCACAGCAATAAGGAACCCACACGTTGGGTGCCAGATGTAGGGTACGTTGGGAGCCAGATGTAAGGCTGAGTGCCCCACAGGGTCGTGGGGTGAGCCTTATGCTGTGCTGAGGCGCAGGATCCGAGAAATAAAGAGACAGGACACAGAAGTACAAAGAAAATGCAGCTGGGCTCGGGGCCATGCCACCTATAAGCGGTGAGCGGCTGGCGAGGCACCTGGTGAGGCGCCTGGCGAGGCGAGGCCCCGAATGTCCAGAAGCATGAGTATTTATTGTGTATAGGTTAGGGGGTAGGGCAGTGAGTGAAATCATCTTTACGGATAGTGATAGGGTCTTGAGCAATAAAACATAGGGTCCACCCCCATTAGGCCACCGAGGCTTGAAGGTGGGCCGTGCGCAGTGAAGAGGGTGCAGTGTGCCATACTTCTATCTATGGGAAACTACTTCTAAGAAGATTTATGGGAGGATGCTTTAAGTCACATAGCAGTGACAGAGCTGTCAAGGTTACTGCCACCTTCTGGCAGCTTCCAATGGATTCTATGGGAAGATGCTTTTCAAGCAGCACAGTAGCAAGAGCTGATAAAGTTCACAATCACCAAGGTGGATTCCCGTTCTGAGGGCAGCTTTCCACCAGAACTGGAGCAAGGTCCTGCAAGTCCCTTTATCAGGAGGAGTGGCTCTCGCCCCAAGCCTGCCATACAGCGGGTATCTTTACGATACTGAATGCTGCCGCCTGGGCCATGGATTCTTGTCCTGGTATAACTGTTTTCCCCTTAAATCACAGCTCTGCACTGTGTCTGCTCTAGGCATTCCTCCGATTATAAGCTGCTTATTCCTTAATTCATGCTCTGTACTGTGTCCACTCTAGGCATTCCTCCAATTATGAACTAAGATATAATTATAGGTATATATGTAGGGAAATATTCTCTGGGCACTCATACTATCAACTATTATATGATTATATATAGAGGATTATATAAAGGGAGCCTTCAAGCCCTATTTCTATAAACTAATATATGATTATATAAAGGATTATATAAAAGGAAATAGCTGAGTAGTAACACTATAAAGTGAGATATTCCTCAAGCCCTAACTGTGCCAGGGCTCTGCTTAGCTCTCATTCCTCGGTGCCTATATAGGGGGTTACCCACTGGGGAATGCATATTATTTTATGTATTTTACTAGATTTCCTTCTTTACTACAGATGGTATAGCTTAATAGCAGTTTCCCTAAACTTACACAAACAACATGATATTGTATTAAGACAGTTTCAGTTCATTCCTTTTGCTTCTGTTTCACCTGACTTAGTTCCTATTAAACTATATATTTGTCAATTAAATTGATTATAGTTTTTAAATTGGAAAGTTTTAACATCTCAAACATAATTTTAATTAAGTTACTATCTTAATTGTGGAAATACCATTTAATAGATTGATCATTCTTTGTTATATAAGATACATTACTTTTCTGTCTCAGTTTCCTAAATGTAACTTGCTGGGTTTTGTTTAAATTTCACCATTTTTTCCTTTCTTGGAACAAATGCTATATTATAATAACTATTCGCCTATATACATTCATGTCCATCATGTTATACTGAATCATTATTTAAAATATATTTTACATTTAGCCCATTTCTTGCACTCCAAGAACTTCTCTACTATTTATAAAACCATTATGTTTTTTCATGATGGTCAAGCAATGAGAAATAAATTCTCTTAAAAAACTTGTATTGGGCCAGGAGTGGTGACTCATGCCTGTAATCCCAGCACTTTGGGAGGCTGAGGTGGGCAGATCATTTTAGAGTCTGAGGTCAGGAGTTTGAGACCAGCCTGACCAACATGGTGAATCCCTGTTTCTACTAAAAATACGAAAAAATTAGCCTGGTGTGGTGGCACATGCATGTAATCTGAGCTACTTGGGAGGCTGAGGCAAAAGAATTGCTTGAACCCAGGAGGCTGAGGTTGCAGTGAGCCAAGATTGCACCACTGTACTTCAGCCTAGGCGACAGAACAAGACTCCGTCTCTTTAAAAAAGAAAAAAAAAATTTTATTTTGTCCAGAAAAGTTTTTTTCTAGGTTTTCTTCTAGGATTTTTGTAGCTTGAGGTCTTACATGTAAGTCTTTATTCATCTTGAATTAATTTTTGTATATGATGAGAGACAGGAGTCCAGTTTCATTCTTCTGTATATGGCTAGTCAGTTTTTCTAGCACCTTTTATTGAATAGAATGTCTTTTCTCAATTGTTTTTGTTGAGTTTATCAAAGATCAGTTGGTTGTAGGCATATGGCTGTATTTTTGTGTTTCCTATTCTGTTCCATTGGATAACTTCTATTTTAATGTTAGCATTTGTATCTATACATTTTCTGTTTTAGAACTGTTTTTTCTACATTCATAAGTTTTGATATGTTCTATTTTCATTTTTTTTTGTTTTGAGATTTTTTTTTAATTTCCCTTGTGATTTCTAATTTGACATATTGGCTGTTTCACAGCATGGGTTTTGTTGTTGTTGTTGTTGTTCTTGTTTTTTTTTTCTTTGTTTTTTTTGAAATGGAGATTTGCTTTTGTTGCCCAGGCTAGAGTTCAGTGGTGTGATCTTGGCTCACTTCAACCTCCGCCTCTCGAGTAGCTGGGATTACAGGTGTCTGCTACCATGCCCAGCTAATTTTTTGTATTTTTAATAGAGACAAGGTTTTACCATGTTGACCAGGCTGGTCTCAAACTCCTGACCTCAGATGACCCACCCACCTCTGCTGCCCAAATTGCTGGGATTACAGGCATGAGCCACCATGCCCAGCCTAAGAATACGTTGTTTCCACATATTTGTTGATACTCTAATTTTCTTCTGCTGTTGATCTCTAGTTTTATTTTATTATGATGGGATAAAGTTATGCTTTACAATTTTAGTCTTTAGTTTTAAAACTTTTTCTTTTCAAATATTTCTTTTGAAGAATGTTTCATATGAAGTTCTGAAAAACTTGTGCTTTTTTTGAGTGATGTGCATATATAGATTAGGTCCAATTTGATGTATAGTTTAGATTCTGTAGTTCCTTATATTTCTTCTGTCTGATTGTCCTATTTTTAAGTAAAAGTGGGCCATTGAAGTCTCTTATTATTACTGTGGAAGTATTTCTCTTTTTAGTTATGTTAATTTTGCTTTACATTTTAAGGATCTCTAATATTAGGCACATATTATTATATCCTCCTAGTGAATTACCCCTTTAATCATTATATAATGCCCTTCTTTGTCTCTTGTACCAGTTTTGACATAAAGTCTATTTCAACTGATAACATCTTAGCCTCCATTCTGTTACCATTTATAGGAGATATCTTTTTTCATCCCTTCAATTCAGCCTATGTGTGTCCTTTGAATTAAAATGAGTCTTTTCTGGATAGTGTGTAGCTGAAGCCAGTTTTAAAAATTCACTCAGCCAGTGTCTGTCTTCTGATTGTGGAGTATAAACCACTTACATTTACTACAATTACTGATAGAAAAGGACTTATATTGCCCTTTTGTTAAGTGTTTTCTGTATCTCTTTTAGAATTTTGTTGTTCTCTTACTGCCTTCATTTTTATTTAGTTGATTTTTTTCCCTGAAATAGTTTTATTTCCATTGTGCGTGTCTTCTATACATTTTTGTGGTTACTGTTGCAATTACAGAAAACACTTTAGCTTTATAACATCCTATTTTAAACTAATAACAGCTTAACTTCAGTTACATGCAAAAATGACTTTTTTACAGATCTGCTTCCATGTTGTGTTTCTGATATCCCAGATTACGTTCATCATATATATATGTGTGTATATATATATGTGTGTGTATATATATATGTGTGTGTGTGTGTATATATATATATATATATATATATGTATATATATACTGTGTCTCTATTAACGTATATTTAAGCCTTGACAAGAGTTTCCTGCTTTCTTTGTTTTCTCAAACAAATCTTCACCTACTGTGCTAGGGATCCTCATTCTGCATCCCATATCTCCTTAACATTTTTGTACTGTCAGTAAGGTTTTATGGTGTCTTTATGTGTATATACACAATGAATTCATCCATCTCCTCTTCATGGCTGTTTTCTGTTTTTTCTTCAGGATTGAAATGTAAGAACATTCGTTTACATATCTCCTGATATGTAGGGTTGTTAAACATATACCTGGAAATAGAACTCATGGGACATGCAATTTGATAAATTTCATAGCAAATATTATAGAAACATAAATCTGTTAGTCTTCCCATATCATCACAGTACCTTCTTTTTAATTGTCCTCCCTTGTTGTCCTGCACCCATAGTATAATTCTTATGTTTAAGTATTAGTCAGTATAATGCTACTTCTATATTTTCTTCCAAAGCCAGGATTTTAGCTGTTCCTTGTGCAATTATATTCCCACAGCTCTGCAAGCACAAACATTGCTGCCCCATGTTCATTACTCCTTGCCCTCTCCTCTTGCCCTTTCTCCTCCTGGGCCTTTCTTAACATATTGCTTTGGTCCAGATGGACTACGCAGTTACTGACTAGCGTATAACTTTATACTCACATTATTGCAGAACTCCCTCACCTCCCATGCGACTCTCACTCTGCAAAGGGTGACCCCTCTACTCATTCACTTGACCACTTTCTGATTACACTGCCTAAATCAATACGTGCAGGGGACGATGACTCAGATACTGTTCGTTATTCATGATGGATGGCTGAAAAATGCTTTTGGCAACACTATTTGGCTTTTGAAGTATTTATTTCTACATTCTTGATATTTGGGTTGACCTCTTATCTGCACTGCTTGTTTGGGAAGTTGTTGGTTTTTTTTCCTCAGAACATGCCACTTTCGGGAAGTTGTTTTTAAAAACATGTTTGATCCTGCAAACCCAGGTTCATATCTTTGTAAATTGGGCATAGCTATTTACTTTTCAAGATAGAAATTTACTTTTCAAGGATCTGGGTGGTGCAAAGTTCAACATGTTAGAAGAGCCAGCTACTTTGGTTCTTGGTGTGGGTTTTTTTTCTGGTGTGCCATGGCTAACTCCCTCTGTGTCCTCATGTGGCAAAGAGATTGTCATGCAAAAAGCAGAAGCTTTTTCATGTCTCCTCTAATTGCATTTCTGAAGTTCTAGGCACCATCCTGACCTAATTGCCACCCAAAGACCACACTACCAAATACAATGTCATTGAGGATTGGGTGCTTAACATAGGAATTTTGGCAGACATATGTCTTTATATCAGAGCAGTCTACATTGTATCTGTAAGTTTTCATTTTGCAGTTTGTTCCAAACAGTGTTGTCTTTTATCTTAGTTCATACATTTTCCAAGTACAATCCCTGTATCATATATATTTTGTGGCCAATGAACTAGATAATTAAAGACAATGAATAGGACTGGGCGCAGTGGCTCACACCTGTAATCCCAACACTTTGGGAGGCAGAGGTGGGCAGATTGCTTGAGATCAGGAGTTCCAGACCAGCCTGGGCAACATAGCAAAACCTCGTCTCTACCAAAACTGCAAAAAAAAAAAAAAAATAGCTGGGCATGATGGTGCACATCTGTGGTCCCAGCTCTCAGGAGGCTGAGGTGGGGGATCACTTGAGCCTGTCTGTTGGCAGTTGCAGTGAGGTGAGATCATGCCACTGCACTCTTCAGCCTGGGTGACAGAGTAAGACTCCATCTCAAAAAATAGCAAAAAAAAGACAGTGAATACATAGGGAGTTGCTCTATTGTTTGCTGCATAGTTGTAGGCATGAAATCATAACTGGGAATTCTGATTTCCTTTCCCAAGTTTTATTCTATTTTTTTTTTTTTTTTTTTTTTTTTTTTTTTTTTTTTTTTTTTTTTTTGACAGTCTCTCTCTGTTGCCCAGGCTGAAGTGCACTGTCATGATCTTGGCTCACGGCAACCTCCCCATCATGGGTTTATGTGAGTCTCATACTTCAGCCTCCTGAGTAGTTGGGATTACAGGTGTGCACCATCACACCTGGCTAATTTTTTATATTTTTAGTAGAGATGAGGTTTCTCCTTATTGGATAGTCTCAAACTCTTGGCCTCAAGTGATCTGTCCACCTTGGCCTCTCAAAATGCTGGGATTACAGGTCTGAGCCACCAATTTTTATTCTTTATTATGTTATATATTTACCTTTCTCTCATCCGAAGTGCTAACCATTTCTGACACTGCCTAGCTTCTGAGATCAGACAAGATCAGATGCATTCACAGTGGTATGGCCATAGACAAATTTACCTTTCTTTTATCTTTAAAACTCAGTGACAGCGGGGGGTGGGGAGTTGGAAAGAGATAGCATGGGAAGAAATGCCAGATATAGGTGATGGGGAGGAAGGCAGCAAATCACAGTGCCATGTGTGTACCTATGCAACAATCCTGCATGTTCTTCACATGTACCCCAAAAGCTAAAATGCAATTAAAATAATAATAATAAAATTTAAAAAAACTCAGCGATCTCAACATATTTTCCAGTTACCATATGCTGCCTCTAGAATGTAAGTTCTTGCTTATTATTAATGGAGAATTGTTTAGAATTTCATACTAAATATTTGTATTTTGTGGTTGTTCATTATTTACCTGCTGGTTTTATCAGAGGTTATTAGAATGTTTTATTTGTTAATTTATATTATGATTATTAATTAGTTGAACTTGTGAATATTTACCATTACAGCATATCTTGCTGTGGTTTAGCATTTATTTGTGTGATATAAATACATGTAACTTTTTTACTCTTCTGAGAGAGCCATATGTTTACTGCCAATTGGTGTGTCATTTAGGGTCAGTGGTTGTAAAATACTTGTTTTAGTGCTCAAAAGTTTGCACAACATGGATCTTTTGGTCGTAGGATGTTTGAAACTAGGCTTTCCTAAAACTGATATGAATTACACGTAGTTACCCTTTCTTAACTATAGAATTCTATTCATTTTGTGTTTCTAAAAATAGAAGATGGTGGAAAAGTTTCACAACTTGCTAGTATAAACACTATGTTTAGTGTAGTGTGTTTTCAGTATAAAATAATGTTTACCAGTAGTAGTTATTTTAAAACCCCATGTTCATTACATTTTGCAGGTATCTCTCCTAAATGTGTGATCAAGGAATTACCACCAATACAGAACAGTAATACAAGAGAAAAATTCCAAATGGTGATGTTGGAAGGACATGAAAGCTGTGACACTGAAAATTTTTACTTCAGGGAAATCCAGAAAAATCTACAGGACCTTGGCTTTCAACAGAAAGATGGTGAAATAAATTATAAAGAAGTGCCGATGACCCGTAAAAACAACCTTACTGGTAAAAGACTTCAACATAGTCAAGGGGATGTAGAAAACAAGCATATTGAAAATCAGCTTATATTAAGCTTTCAGTCACATCTGGCTGAACTGCAGAAATTTCAAACTGCAGGGAAAATTTATGAATGTAATCAAATTGAGAGGACAGTTAATAATGGTTTTTTAGTTTCACCACTTGAAAGGATTTTTCCTAGTGTCCAAACCAACATTTCTAGAAAATATGGGAATGATTTTTTGCAACTTTCATTACCTACACAAGACAAGAAAACACATATTAGGGGAAAACCTTACATAGGTAATGAGTGTGGCAAAGCCTTTAGAGTGTCTTCAAGTCTTATTAATCATCAGATTACTACAGAGAAATCTTACAGATGCAATGAGTCTGGCAAAGCCTTTAATCGGGGCTCACTACTAACTGTACATCAGGTAGTCCATTCAAAAGGGAAACCATATCAATGTGATGTGTGTGGCAAGATCTTCAGGCAAAATTCAGATCTTGTAAATCACCAGAGAAGTCACACCGGAGACAAACCCTACATATGTAATCAATGTGGCAAGTCCTTTAGTAAAAGTTCCCACCTTTCAGTTCATCAGAGAATTCATACTGGAGAGAAACCTTATAAATGTAATCAGTGTGGGAAGTGCTTTAGTCAAAGTTCCTCTCTTGCAACTCATCAGACAGTTCATACTGGAGACAAACCCTACAAATGTAATGAGTGTGGCAAAACCTTTAAACGGAACTCAAGCCTCACTACACATCATATAATCCATGCAGAAAAGAAACCATATACATGTGACGTATGTGGCAAGGTTTTTTATCAAAGTTCACAACTTGTAAGGCACCAGATAATTCATACTGGAGAGACACCTTACAAATGTAATGAATGTGGCAAGGTCTTCTTTCAACGTTCACGTCTTGCAGGGCATCGGAGAGTTCATACTGGAGAGAAACCTTACAAATGCAATGAATGTGGCAAGGTCTTCAGTCAACATTCACATCTTGCAGTGCATCAGAGAATTCATACTGGAGAGAAACCTTACAAATGTAATGAATGTGGCAAAGCCTTTAATTGGGGCTCATTACTCACTATACATCAGAGAATTCATACAGGAGAGAAACCTTACAAATGTAATGTGTGTGGCAAGGTCTTTAATTATGGTGGATACCTTTCAGTTCATATGAGATGTCATACTGGAGAGAAACCTCTCCGTTGTAATAAATGTGGCATGGTCTTCACTTACTATTCATGCCTAGCACGTCATCAGAGAATGCATACCGGCGAGAAACCTTACAAATGTAATGTATGTGGCAAGGTCTTCATTGACAGTGGAAACCTTTCAATTCATAGGCGAAGTCATACTGGAGAGAAACCTTTCCAGTGTAATGAATGTGGCAAGGTCTTCAGTTATTATTCATGCCTAGCACGTCATCGGAAAATTCATACTGGAGAGAAACCTTACAAATGTAATGATTGTGGCAAAGCCTATACTCAGCGTTCAAGCCTCACTAAACATCTGGTAATTCATACTGGAGAGAAACCTTACCATTGTAATGAGTTTGGCGAGGCTTTTATCCAAAGTTCAAAACTTGCAAGATATCACAGAAATCCTGCTGGGGAGAAACCACACAGATGTAGTGAATGTGGTAGAACTTTTAGTCATAAAACAAGTCTGGTGTACCATCAGAGAAGACATACTGGAGAGATGCCATATAAATGTATTGAATGTGGGAAAGTCTTTAATTCCACTACAACCCTTGCAAGGCATCGGAGAATTCATACTGGAGAGAAACCTTACAAATGTAATGAATGTGGCAAAGTCTTCCGTTATCGCTCAGGCTTAGCCCGTCATTGGAGTATTCATACTGGAGAGAAACCTTACAAATGTAATGAGTGTGGCAAAGCCTTTAGAGTGCGCTCAATTCTGCTTAATCATCAGATGATGCATACTGGAGAGAAACCTTATAAATGTAATGAATGTGGTAAAGCTTTTATCGAAAAGTCAAACTTGGTTTACCACCAGAGAAATCATACTGGAGAGAAGCCATACAAATGTATTGAATGTGGCAAGGCATTTGGGCGGCGGTCTTGCCTCACTAAACACCAACGACTTCATTCTGGTGATAAACCTTATAAATGTAATGAGTGTAGTAAATCTTACATTAGTCGCTCAGGCCTCACTAAACATCAGATAAAACATACTGGAGAGAACCTTAGAACTAAACTGAATGTGGAAAGGCCTTTAGACATTGTCCTAACTTCTGAGATCACCAAATAATTTATACTTACTGATATAGCTTGTATATTTGTCCCTTCCCTCTGAAATCCCTAACCTTAATCTCCAGTATTGGAGGAGCCTAGTGGGAGGTGATTGGATCATGGGGTGGATTTCTCCAGAAAGGTTTAGTACCATCCCCTTAGTGCTGTCCTTGTGATAGTGAGTTCTGATGAGGTCTGGATGTTGAAAAGTGAATGGCAGGGCCAGGCGCCATGGCTCATGCCTGTAATCGCAGCACTTCAGGAGGCCAAGGTGGGTGGATCACTTGAGGTCAGGAGTTCAAGAGAGAGCAGCCTGGCCAACATGGTGAAACCTTTGTCTCTGCCAAAAATTACACAAAATTAGCGGGGCTTTGTGGCGGGCATTTGTAGTACCAGCTACTCGAGAGGCTGAGTCAGGAGAATCACCTGAACCCTCAAGGCAGAGGTTGCAGTGAGCCGAGATTGTGCCACTGCACTCCAGCCTGGGTGACAGAGTGAGACTTTGCTTTACACACATACACACACACACACACACACACACACACGAATGGCACCTCCCTCGTTTGTTTCCCTTCTGGCCATGTGACATGCCCACTCCCCCTTCACCTTCCATCATCATTTCAACCTTTCTGAGGCTTCCCCAGAGAGTAAGCAGATGCCAGCACCATGTTTCTGTAAAGCCTGCAAAATTGTGAGCCAATTAAACCTCTTTATACACTACCCAGCCTCAGGTATTTCTTTCTAGCAATGCAATTATGTGTTGATACATTTACACATGCAGTGAATATAGCTAAGTTTTAAGCAACTGTTCACAAGGCATAAGAATATAAATCCTGGAGAGACATTACAGAAGTATAATATGTGTGGTAAGAATACTATTTAAAGGTCAAAACTTGCGAATCTCTAAGTAACTTGAAGTGCAGATACGCTTTACAAATGAAATGAGTGTGGCAAAAGCTTTACCAGAGTTCAGTCACTACTTGACTTGAGGGTTTATACTGGAAAGAAATCATTTAAATGTATGTGCTAGAGGCTTTCCCCAGGTATCTGAACTCACTAGACATCAGAATATACATCTTTGTCAGGAACCACACAAATGGAATGTGCGTGCTAAGGCTTCTTACCTGAACATCAAAACAGAAACATCAGAGTATTCATACAGGACAACAGCCTTAGAAATGTAACAAATGTGGTAAGCGTTTTTAAAAAAAATCAAATGGGCCACGTGTGGTGGCTTACACCTGAGCACTTTGGGAGGCCCAGGCGGGTGGATCACCAGAGTTCAGGAGTTTGAGACCAGCCTGGCCAATATGGTGAGACCCCATCTCTACTAAAAAGACAAAAATTAGCCAGACATGGTGGTGGGTGCCTGTAATCCCAGCTACTTGGGAGGCTGAGGCAGGAGAATTGCTTGAACCCAGGAGGTGGAAGTTGCAGTGAGCTCAGACTGTGCTGTTGTACTCCACCTGGGTGACAAGATCAAGACTCTGCCTCAAAAAAATAAAAAATCAAATGTTCCATGTTTTTGGAATTTGAGATAATTTATGCAGAAGAAAAGCCAAATGAGTGTGTTTAACATGGAAGGACATTTAATCAGTAGTATGTCTTCAGGCTTTACCAAATTATTCATACTGGAGAGAAACCATGGAAATGTAATCAATATGGTAAAATTTTAAACCATTTCTCAACAGATTCCATATTAGGTAAATCATGCAATGGATACTAAGTCTGCTTCTCCATCCAGGATTGATGTGGAATGGTAAATACTATAACTACAAGACAAAATTTGTTAAAACCCCTCGTAGTATGTACATCAAAGGAGCAAGAGCATGTGTGGAAATGGCCAATTCAGTTTATATAACAATTATATTCACTTTGACGTTTCTTAAAAAGGCTACTTGACTATTTGTGACCTTCATCCTAAAGTATGAAGTCTATTGCCTTTCCTACACATCTTTCATTACGGTCTCTGGGAATAAATCAGTAAGATGAGGGGGCCTACTTCATTAGGTGTGGCTTCTTCATATCCATGTTTTCTGGAAGATCAAGGCCACTGTACTGTGTGAGTTAGGCAGCGTGGGGTAAGGTGGAGAATGATGTAAATTTACAATGTAAGTCACTGAGCTTGTGTTCAATCAGGGTGTTACTTTGGGATATGGAAAACAGTTGCCTGATAACTGACCAAGAAACAGCAGGAAGGACGTTGATAGATTCAGATTCAGGATTTTCATGGAAGGTGAGTGATAGGTTGCTAGAGACGATTGTATGAGAGAAATAATGGTGGTCATCTCTATTGAATGATAGCTGTTATATGTCAAGGATTAATCAGAATGTAATCTTATTCTTGGAAATAGAAGAGAGCAGTTATCAGAAGAGTTTAATCAAAAGACCTGGAATAGCATGTTCATAAGTGGGATTCACATTTAACTGTTTATATTTTACTGCTCTTATATTCAGAATGTATCAGAAGTCTCCTGTTTTAATTAATAAAATAGTATCATTTTTGTTCATAACTCAGTCAGGTTCCTTTTACCAACACAGTTTCATTCTACCTTAGGAACTAACAGACACTGCAACATTATGCTTTCATGGTTGAAATAATGTGTAACAGTTTTTTTTTTTAATGGTAGAATCAACAACAGATTTTTGCAAATACAGTAGTCCCCCTTACCCATGGGATACCTTCCAAGACTCCCCTGGTGGATGCCTGAAACTCTGAAGCATATATATACGGTTTAAGTAAAGTTTTGACGTGTGACAGCAAAGCTAGCACTAATATCTTTGTATTCAGTCTTTCATATGCAGATTTCTATTTTTTTTGTTTTGATCACCTCAAAGGAGATTTCAGTGCTATCATGTACAGATTTCTCACGATAAATCTTAGCAGCTTCAGCATGATTTTTTTTTTATACAGCAAGAACTTCCAGTTAAAGGAGGTACTTTACAGCTTTCTTGCTTTTTCTTCTTTTTCTTTCCCCTCTCTTCCTTACTTCCTTTCCTTCCTCTCCTCCCCTCTCTCTTTTCTATTCTTTTTTTAAGGGGGTTTTGCCATGTCACCCAGGCTGGGGTGCAGTGGTTATTCACAGCTGAGATCTCTGTACTACAGCCTCAGTAAGCAGTCCTCCTGCCTCAGTCTCCTGAGTAATGAGGATTACACATGTGCACCACCATGCCTAGCTAATTGATTTTTAAATTTACATTAAAGATGGGGTTTTGCCATGTTACCCAAGCTGGGCTCAAACTTCTGGCCTCAATAAATCCTCCTACCTCAGCCTCCTAAATAGCTGAGACTATAGTTGCATGCCATTGTGCATACCTTACACCTTCTCTGTCACATCCAAGTTGCAAGCATCGCTACTTTTGTGCTTTGGGACCATTAATTAAGTAAAATGAGTTACTTGAATACAAGCACTGCAATACTGTTAATCGGCTGAGATGACTGCTAAGTGACAGATGGGTAGCATATTTAGTGTTTATACACGATATAAAGGGATGATTTATGTCCTGGGTGGAACAATGAGATTTTATCACATTTATGAGAAGAGTGCACAATTTAAAACATGAATTATTTATTATGGGAATATACTATTTAATGTTTTTGGACCACAGCTGCCGTGTGTAACTGAAACCATGGAAAGTGAAACTGTAGATAAGGCGGATGACTGTACCAGTGTGTTGGTGGCGGGGGAAGCCAGCTGGCTCCTGTGATGTAAGTTTGTGATTCTGAAATAGCAGCTTTGCAAAAAAGAAACTGCAATTTATCAACTCACCAGTATTCACAACGACAGTGCATGCTTGGTGAGCTCAGAATAATTCTGAAAACCTTTGTTCCCATTGCCAATTCCTGGAAACAGTTATGGGTTTCTAAAGAACATCACCACAAATACATTCTGAAGTGTTTTCTAATTCAATTTTCAATTTTGATTATTTTTTATTTCTAATTCTATTTTCTAATTCAATTGTTTCTAAAATATATTTTTTAGAGCAATTTTAGGTTCCCAGCAAAATTTAGTAGTACAGAGATTTTCTGTATAGCTCCTTCTCCGTTATCAACATTCCCCACCAAAGTGGGAGTTACATTATCACCCAACATCCATAGTTTATATTTAGTTAATGCATGTACATTGCGTGGATTTAGACAAGTATTATACAGTGGCATGTACTCACCATCACAGGAACACAAGGAGGACTTTCACTACCCTAAAAATCCTCTGTGCTCCACCTAGATTTGTATTCTTTTCACTTCTGTCACTTGTTTCACGTTTTGTAGCTGGTTTTAAGTGCATACAAGATTCTCAAACCATCCCTGTAAATTGACATTTTTATAATGTAACCTCCCTGTCGCTCAGGCTGGAGTACATACACTATGATAAAAAGAGTGCATACAGTATGATTCTACAGATCTACAGTGAGAGGGCAGCTCGGCGGCTGCCCAGAGTGCGTGTTTCGTAGTCGCGGCAAAGTAAAAGGCCTGATTGGGATGAGGCTGGAAAGACGGTCACGAGGTCGACTTTTTCAGCTCATTTGGTGATTGCTGCATCCCCCATACCACCTCACTTTCCCAGACATGCTTGTTCTTCTGAAGACATTTCCATGGGCCAGTTCCACCGCAAACTTCCCAGAAAGCGTTAGTTCTGCTGTACGGACACCGAACTTCCCCTAAGATGGCCGCGCCCACGGTGCTCTCGCCTAACAGCGCGGTTACTTGTAACGCATCGTTTTTTTTTCAGTCCCGCTTGCTTCAGTTTTTATACGGCCTCTAAAACGCTTCGCATTTAGAACAGTGATTGAGGTGGCAGAGGTGACTTTAATTTTCCACTGAGCTGAGACGTCACAGTCGTCATGACCGCTAAGAACGGATGCCGCTCCTTTGTGTAATGGGCTCCGGCCTTTGAGAAGTTTGCGCCGTTCCCTGTCCCCTTCAATGAGAAGACCAACTTATTCTGTTTCCTGTCCGTTCAGGGGACTTTACCCCCACGCCATTTCTGCCTGTGTGAACTCAACCCTCTAATAACCTCCATTTTCTGCCAGGGATGAGGTGTCTGGAAATCGGACAGTTGTAGGGCACTCTGCCCACCGCGTCTCGCGGTGCTGTTCCTTCTGTACGTCACGTACTCAAAGATGGCCGCCCGCAGAGCAGCGAAGCGAAGGCGGCGCTGGCGAGTCTCCTCCTGAGGAAAAACCGGAAGCCTGCATTCCGCTTTCCGGGGAAACGTGGTGGACCTTCTCCGGAGGTTTATGCGGGAGGGAGCTGGGCTAGGGGCCCAGAAGTGGAAGAAGTTTAGGGAAGTCCAGCCTTTAAGAGGTCGCGGCGATTCCAAGGACAGTCAGGTCAGTATGTGGGTCAGGCCGTGGAAACGCTGTGGGAGGGTGCATTCTGAGGCTGTCTGCGTTGATGGTGGCGGTAGACCGTGGAGGTAGCGCGGGGTTGGGAGTTGGGGTTGGGGGGGCGGGTGTCTTCTTTGGAGGTGCGCTAGGAGACCCTGGTAGGTGCCTGTGATGGGGTATCTTTGGGGGTCCCTTACGGAGACTCTGGGTGGTCAGTGATTAAAGGCCTAAGTAGATCAACGACCTAAGGTCAGGGATTGGGGTATTTGCAAGTCACTCCCTTGTGGGGCTCAGTGATTGAGAACTGATGGGGTGGCTTTTGTCAATGAATGTGACTTCTGTTTCACATTCTGAGTTAATCTGAGGCTCAGTGATCGAGGAATCATTAAGGGAAGCCAGTGTACTAGTGTATCTTCTCCGGGTTTTCGTATTAATCTGGCGGAGTCTTTTGTGTAGAGACAAGTGAAAGCTGAAGTCTGCACAGGAGTCCGGGCTGGGTGTGTGTGTGTGTGTGTGTGTGTGTGTGT